TTTATGTTTATAAGACCATTATGTCGAAGTAGTTTTACTTTTATAAGCCATTATGTCGAAGTACTTTTACTTATATAAGACCATTATGTCGAAGTAGTTTTACTTTTATAATCCATTATGTCGAAGTAGTTTTACTTTTAGAAGCCATTATGTCGAAGTAGTTTCACTTTTATCAGACGATTTTGTCGAAGTAGTTTTACTTTTATAAGCCTATTATGTTGAAGTATTTTTACTTGTATAAGCCATTATTTCGAAGAGGTTTTTCTTTTATAAGCCCATTATGTCGAAGTAGTTTTTCTTTTATAAGCCCATTATGTCGAAGTAGAGAATTTAATCATTTTGTAGAATAAAAATCGTCTTACATTAGCAGTTTTCCTCAATGAGAGACTAATTTTAGCTTGTACATTCATAATGAATATGAATCCAATTGTTGCTCTTTTTATTCGCACAAATTATCGCTATATTCATAAACAGACTTAGAAACCAACAATACAGATGGAACGCGCTCTGATATTCTAATAAATGATTCAATTTTCCATTCCATCTCAATAGCTAGAACATCCAACATTAAGATAGCTTACCAGGCAAGGTAATATACAACCACTGGCAGCTTTGATTTTGAATAAAAATATTTGGCAGTTCAGTAACAAACACCAGTATGAAATATCTTATTATGCACTTCATTTTAACTCTTTTTGGGCAACACTGAATAATATTGAGTATGAATTATTGCTCTCGTTCTTGAAAACGTGTTCAATTTTTAGCTCGTGAAAAATTTAGAAGGCAGATATTCAACCTTCAGCGCGGTACTGAATAATAAAATTTTGTCAAAACATCACGCCTTTTAGTGTTCAAGAGTAAAATTTGAAAGCGTTTTGATTTTTGATAGGATTCATCCTTAGGTGTTAACACAAACACCAAAGTGCGTAAATATCTGTCAAAAATTGTTCTCACGCGTTCTCAAGAACAGGGGCAATAACTCATACTAAATATTTTTCTGATTTTCAATTGGGTATATCCTTGGCTTGGATGATAGCAAACACTCATGCCAAGTTTTGTCAAAATTCGTCAAAAGAATTGTGCTTTCTAGAGTGTCTATGAAATAAAAATTGAAATGCGTTCTTAAGAACAGGGGCAGTAACTACTACTAAATATTTTTCGATTCTTCTGATTTTCGA